GCCAACCAGAATCAGATTAAACCTCTTATCTAGGACAGAGCTTACAACCTCACTCAACAGGATGCTGAAGCTAACTCGGACATGATACAAGATACATACACAATCTGTAATCACCTTGCACATATTTTGATTGATACTGGTGCTTCACATTCGTTTATCTTACACACTTTTACACAAAGCTTAAATGTATCACCATAAAGACTTATTTCTATGTTGTTTGTGTCAACTCCTGTAAATATGACACTACTAGGAGATGTTATATATAAAGCTTGTATCATAGACATAGCAAATAGAAAATTAAGTGTGGATCTTGTAGAGATTGACATGGGGGACTTTGATGTAATCCTGAAGATTGACTGGTTAGCACCCTACAACACCACCATAGATTACTTCCACAAGAAACTTATATTCAACTCTCTTAATGAAGAGGTGTTTACAAGTTAATGAAATTTTTAAATGTAATTTCCTCATTTTATAGTGTTTTAACTATATTATCTTCTCTATATTAGGCAAATCTAAGAAAGAAGTCTGCATTTAAGAGATTTTGGCAGTCTGTCTCTGATGTATTTCCTAACGAACTACTTAGACCGCTGGTGGACAGGAAAGTTAAGTTCGCCAAAGATCTCCAGCCTGACACCCAGCCTATCTTGGTGGCTTCTTACCGCATGAACCGTATTGATATGGAAGAATTGAGGAAACAAATCAATGAATTATAGGACAGTGGGTTTATCCGGTATAATGTATCTCCTTAGGGTGCCAGAGTCACATTTACAAGGAAATGGAATTGGACATTATGATTGTGTATTAATTACAATGGATTAAACAATGTTACTATCAAGAACAAGTACCCTATCGTCAAAATTAATGGCATGATCAGACGGACGAGATCGATGATGAGTGGTTCAGATTAATGTGGGATGAATATAAATATTTTGCATCACACAAAACCATAACCCTAGCTGCTAGCCCCCCTCCCCCCCGGTTGGAGAAGAAGGACCAGATGCTGGAGAAAGAAGTCAACTGCTGACCACCACCGCACCGGAGCTACTTCCGATCACCAAAAAAGGTAAAAGTATTCTCCTACCCACTCGAATTTTGATTCTAAGCACCCATGTGGCCATATCGGAACAAAACGAACGATAGGTGAGCTGAAAACCATGGGCGAAGCACAACGGGACCGCCGCGGCCCAAAACCCGCAACCTCCTCTATTGAGCCCTTCCTAGTTTATGTTTCGTGTATTTTTTTACCGTTGTGTTCATCGTTCTGTTTTCTATAGGTTGACTAAAAGAGAAATTCCAGCCGTGAATGAAAGCCGACGGAGCCGCCGCACCCGAATACAATCCACCGATAAGTTTTAGTTTCTTGATTTTTTTGGTCAACCGAGGCTCCCTAACATATTTTTTCGCAGTAATACATGTAAAGTTGGTTGAAATTGGCCTAAACCGGCCGAAAACGGCCTGGCCGAGGCAAACTACCATCGCAAGCGATAGTACTGTCACCGGAGCACGGCGGTACCGTCGTGTCGAGATCCTAAAATTGGTCAAAAAAAAAATTTAACACCGATTTTGAGTTTTTGAAGTATTTTTTTAGGTATGTGAAATGTGTCTAATCTTCACATAAAAATTCAAGAAATTCGGGGACCACCAGGAGGTGCGGTAGAAAGTACGGTATTTCGAATACAGATTCGAATAAGAATCTTTCACCTTATTCCCTGTTATAAAATTGAAGGTTAATAATCAATAATATGATATTTTGTGAAAGTTAAAATTTTTTGGGAATAATTACACATCACTAATGGAGCTGGAATCAATTATTTATTTATTTGTCTTATTAAACTGATTATTTACTTGTACAGCCTTAAATACATGATAATATATTAAAGTAGTTAAATAATTTTTTGTGTTTTTTTAATGCATATATCGCTTTTTTTGCGTGATTTATGGTTGATTCGTGAAATGTGAAATTAATATACAAATGAAAAATTGCTTGATTATGTGAATTAGTAAATGGTTGTCTTAATGGATATTCTGAGAGATGGTGGATGGACTAGATATATAAGAAACCCTACCGTAAACGTTATCTCATACCGAATGGGGTATCGAGAGATGATATTTTTGGCATTCATACCAGACACGATATGAAGACGGTCCGATTCATCCTCATACTGAACGAGGTATTGAGGGATGATATTTTTTGCACTTATACCGGACGGGGTATGAGGACGGGTGGTTAATTGACAAATTTATATATTGGGTTCACGCATAGGGGAACATCCTTATGGACCCCCAGAGGTACCAGTAAGTAGATAAAAAAGAAATTTGTTATTCTTACTCACTTGTATAAGAAATCATAATGTTATTTAAATTATTGTCTTTATAGGTCAATTTTTAAAATATTATATTTTTTACCAACCTTCAGTTTATGTACCAGTGAATAGTGTTATATTTTTATTGGACTAGTATACTTCACCCATATTAACCATTTCAAATCAAGAATATCAATATTCATATCCTAATCAGCAAGAGGACTGTGAGAAGGTGTCTCCCGGATCCTATCAATAACTAGTGGAGATTAACCTTCATACAACATTTATTTACTATTTTCATACGTTTATTTCATTTTTTATGAACCACTATGAAAGAGACATTTCTGTAATCTTATTGGACATTCTAATTTATATGTAAGAAATGTAAACCCTAATGTTATTATACGCTTTCGCATCTTTAATTCAAATTTATTTTATCAAAGGTTTTGATTCTTTACAACAAACTTATTACATATTCGATTTTTTTGCTCAAAAGTATTAATTTTTTATGTTTTAATTTTTTTAAAATTTAAAATATTACTTTTTTGATAGCACTACCAATAGACGATAATAAAAATTATAATGTTATTCAAATATTTATACAGAAAGAGAAGAAGACGCGTATGCTATTAGATATATGCAAATTAAGTAGACCACCCGTATGTGATTAATTTATAATTAAACATACATAATCGTTTAATTTATGTAAAAATAATAATATAAATATAAAAGAATAAAAAATAATTAATATACTAAAATTATGTATATTTTATTTATATATTAAACTATATCATTTAGTTAAACACAATAAAATAAAATTCTTCATGAAAAATTTGAATGTGAAAAATATTTTCTTAAAAATATTATAGAAAATATTAAAATGTCATGTATGCAAATCACATAATAATTTGTATTAAAATAATGAAAATTAAATACTTAAAAGTATTATTATTGTTTTATCATGTATGCGGATGAACTTAGGGTTAAAAACAATTAATGTCATATAAAATTTAATCATTTAAAATAAAACGATAAACAACCTTAATTAGATACTAAATTATTGAAAATGATAAAACCAATAATAATAATAATAATATTTAGATGTGATGGGAGATGCCGTGAATTTTGATGTCGCGGGAATGGTAGAAAAGGAGTTTAAAAGTCTCGTTCATTTCCAACGATGGACCGCCTTTTTTTGGTTTATTGAATTAGTTGGTTTAATTATCATATTTAAAATTTCGGTTAATTAAATTTACTTTGGAAATTATTCAACCGTATCCAATCTATACCTCATATTATATTTTTATAAATTTATAGGTGTTTTTTTTTTTTTAACTTTTGCATTTTAAGAATACTTTTAATAATTAAAATGATAAAAATTAAAACAATTAAAATAAAAAAATTGAAGTCATAATCTTGTTTTAAAAAACCAAAATTTATTAAAACTTTATATTTAAAATTTTAAAAGTTATTTTCATTAAATATATAATTTTTATTTTTAAACAATATTTTCACATTTATTCTCATTAAATATTATATAATTTTTTATTAAAAATAATTTAATAATGTTTTAAAAATTTATATAATTTTTTATTCGGAACACCAGTATCTTTAAATCATTCTTAACTAACCACCTTTATATATATATATATATATATATTATTTTTTCATGTTTTTTTTTATTTTGATTTGACAAGGTCGGAAGTGGTGTTTTTTGGGGGTTTTCTTTTTCTTTTTCTTTTAACCAAATCATTATTGTTTTATAAAACTTATAAAGTTTCTCAGTAATTTTCTACTAAATTTTTATTATTCAAATTAATAATTTGTAAATAAAAACATATTATATAAACTTTTATGAGTCAATTTAACCAACAATAATATATGCTATTGAATTATGCTGAATTGACACACATATTTATAAAGTAATGATTGAATTTCATAATTTAACATTTATAGATCTCATTATAATTCCACCCAATTTCAAATACTTTAGTGCAATTTACCAAATATATATATATATATATTGGGGACAAATGTTCATAAATGCTAAATGATAACGTATGGAGGAGAGAGACTGATAGAGCGGACGGGAAACCGGGAGCGACGCCGTTTAACAAACCCAACATGGTTTTGTTTTGTGCAACAGGACAAACAATCTGTGTTTCTAACTCCTCTTTATCTCTTACAATCCTGCATTACGTTACCAAATTCCAAATAACAAATTTTTAAATAAAAAAGAAATTTAAGATTAATAAAAACATATATTTTAATTTTTTATTAAATATTAAAATGAAAAAAAATGTATTTTTTAATTTTCGCTGTTGTCATTTTTACTGGTCTATTATTATTATTATTTATTTATTATTTTTTTGAAGTAGAAAGACAAATTTGGCAAGAAAATAGTATCTTTATAAATTTTCCATAAAGAAAGAGGAAGGCTCTCAAATAAAAACAAAATCCAACAAGCTGAAAATATTTTTAATTTTAACCTCGTGATTTCCGCAAAACAGAAAAAAAAAAAAAGACCACTAAATTTATTTAATTTATTTTTCACTTTGGAAAAAAAAACATGGGTATATATATATATGTGTGTGTGTGTGTGTGTGTGCGTATATATTTGCTAGCATGTTCGAGATGTAGACCGTGTTTGGTTTGGGAGTAGAAGTAGTCGTCGTCTCCTAGCCTTGTCTGTTCTCCCCCCTCAGTTTCAACTCCTCTTTCTCTTTCCCTTTCTCACTCTCTCTCCAATTATTTTAGCTATTCTTAAAAATCGCTCCTTTAAAATCAAATTCCAAACAGTACAAAACCAAACCTTTCTTTAAGATGCCCCCTTCTTTCTCTTTCTTCTTCTGCTTCTTCTTCTTCTTCATACTCATGCTCAAGGCTTCAACTTTATGTTCCTTGTCATGAACTCATGCTTTTTGAAGACTATTTTTAGATTGTTCTTGTCTCCGCTATGGATTTCGGTGTTCTCGGGTTGGAGGGTCTGGTGGGTCCTGAGAGCGCCGGCGCTTCATCTCAACCGCCGCCGGCCCCCGACACAAATCACAACGTTCTCGGATCTGGGTTTGTCAGGCAAGAGAGATCTAGGCCCGGCGAAGATGACTGGAGGACCTCCAAAGTCGCTAAGACAATGCCGTTGCACCAGGCAACAACTTCTCCTCTCTTGAGATCTAATACTAATTCCGCCGTCGCTGCTGATACATCCAGCCAACAAGGGCATATGCTGAGCTTCTCTTCCGCACAATCTGAAGTTCCATTTCTGACTAGAGATTGCGGAATGTTGCTGCAGAGAAGCTCGCAGAATACTCCTCCATACCACCAGCCTACTGCTGCTACTGCATCTGGTTATGCTAGAAATGCAGGTCTGTGTTGTCGATCTTTGCGTGGTTCGGATTTAGTCAAATTTGATGAGTGTTATTTGATGCTTGACTTAGAGAGATGGGTATTGAAGGAATCTATCTGAGTTGGGGGAGGAACGAATTTAGTTAGCCACATTCTTGTTATGCTTCTCGTTTCAATCTTCTGTGTGATTGTCTTTTCACGGGGAAAATTTGTTGAAATGTAATTTTGAGGACTATTGGGTCTTGTCATGAAAAGGATTATTTATTTTATTTTTCCTTTTATTTTTATTTTCCACTCTCATACACACTTATGCCGATTTTCTCGGTGTAATGTTGTCAAAATTTGCTGCTACAGTAAGGATTAGGAAAGAAAATCTGTGGACTATAGTCTATACCATATAAGACCTGTTTGGTTCTGTTTCTTTACTTTTCTTTCCTTCCTCTTTTGAGTTTTTTCTTTTTTCCATTTGGTCAAAACTGAAGAAAGTCTCCAGCGTATATGCTCCGCTTCCATGAATATTAAAGTCAAGTGTTTTCTTTTTCTCTGTTACTTTCAGGTTATGTTTCTGGAAGCTTGAATGCGACCATGCACGGGCATTTTGCTGGAGGCAGAGGCCCATTCAGTCCATCTCAGTGGATTGAATTAGAACATCAAGCCTTGATCTACAAGTACATCACAGCAAATGTGCCTGTACCCTCGAATTTGCTCATGTCTCTCAAAAAGTCCCTTTACCCATTTAGCTTGACCGGCTCCTCTGCTGGATCCTTGTCTTCAAATTCCTGTAAGCTCCTAACTTTTTCTGGGTTTGTCTCTTTTGTTTTTCCTTATTCTTTTTTTATCCAATCATGTCTTCACATCGGTGCTTCTGTACAGTGTAATCTCAAAGTTTTTTTCCACAAGCAGGATATACCCAAATGTAAAAGTGAATTTTCTGCTGTAAAGTGAAACTGGGTTTTGAAATTTGATGCTAAATTCTCTCTCATTTTTTTTCCTCTTTTCTGTTCTTTTTTGCCTTGTGTATCTTTATAATTAATTATTCTATGATCATGATCGTTTTTAAGTTTAATTTTGTTACTTTAAAAAAAATGGACGCAGTGGGATGGGGGTCTTTCCATCTGGGTTTCTCCGGCAGCACGGACCCTGAGCCAGGGCGGTGCCGACGAACTGATGGGAAGAAATGGCGGTGCTCCAGAGACGCGGTTGCCGATCAGAAGTACTGCGAAAGGCACATAAACAGGGGCCGCCATCGTTCAAGAAAGCCTGTGGAAGGCCAGATCGGCCATGCAGCAACTGGTCCTGCTGCCAATTCAAAGTTGGCAGTGGTGCCGCCGATGACTTCTTCCATGTCATCAACATCGGCGATAGTACCCAGTAGCGGCGCACCCAACAGTCTTGCAATCTCGCAGCACCAACTCAAGAATTTGAAGCCTGTCGTGGCCAATCGGCCCAATCCTTCTGCTGACTCTCTCATCAACAGGTGAAAAATCACATTGTTTTTTTTTTCGTTTGCATTATGATTAATCTCTTATTATTGTTTGTTTGCATAGCTTTGTTTTCTTTCCTTTTCCTTTACTTTGAAGTAGGACCCCATTATTTTTCTCTCATCGCTTTGGTGATGGTGACTGGTCCTGTAGAACTTGAAACTTTGGATTCCATGTCTGGGAAATTATGATCATCGGTACATTTTTTGTATTTCAATTTTCTTTTCATAATTCCGCAAGATCACAGCTTATCTTGATCCATTTTCCTAATTAGAAACCATATCTTGGTTTTATTAAATTCATTTTGTTGTTGTTCGACATCGGTAAGTTGTCGTTTTCGTAAATAATATAGAATCTGTTTGGCAGAGTACAAGATCCGTGCGATCTATCAACTTTGTCTTCCGCGATCAATGGGAAATCTAACAACACTGCTTTTAGCATTCAAAAACAAGACATCCTGTTGGAAGAATCATCTCACTCAGAGTTTGGGCTTGTTTCGTCGGATTCCCTCCTTAACCCTTCGCAAAGGAGCGGTTACATGAGCTCAAAAAACTATGTGTCATACCTTGACTTTGGAGATCAAGAAACGCAAGAACAACATCCGTTTCACCAATTTATGGATGACTGGCCAAAAGATCAATCTAATCATTCTGTTATTACTTGGCATGAAGAGCTAAAATCGGACTGGACCCAGCTCTCGATGTCAATCCCTATGCCATCTTCGGAGTTTTCATCATCTACATCCTCCCCCACGCAAGAGAAACTTGCCCTCTCACCACTTAGGTTATCTCGCGAATTAGATCCAGCAATACAAATGGGTTTGAGGCTGAACAGCAACATTGGTGAGCTGAGCAAAAAGCGAAATAACATGGTGCCACCGATCTCTTGGGGAAGTTCAATGGGAGGTCCTTTGGGAGAGGTCTTAACCAGCACCAGCAACAGTTTGGCTACAATCAAGAACTCATCAGCAGCACTTAACCTGATTAGCGAAGGCTGGGATGGCAGTCCACAGTTAGGCTCTTCGCCAACTGGTGTCTTGCAGAAGTCAGCATTTGGCTCTCTCTCAAACAGCAGCTCAGGGAGCAGCTCAATAGCTGAGAACAAGAAAGGCAATGAGGGGGCCAGCCTCTGCGATGACGTGCTTGGCTCTTCGTTAGCCAGCTCCTCCATCCCATCTATGTGATGCTGAACAATCAGAAAGTCAGAGACCAAACAAGAGGCTTTGTTGTAACTTTGTTTGATCCAATTTGGTTGTTTTGTCTTTGTTTCAAGACGTTTTAGTGTATGAATTTTTAGAATTTTCGGATTAGGGACTTGGGTTAAAGCAATCGAGAATATGCGTTGGCCCGTTCTGACTGATCTTCGATTTCTCAGTAATCTCTCTATAGTTTGTGAATCTGAAGCAACTAATTAATACCCTTTTATTATTTTCTTTTATTCTTATTTTTCAGTTGTCTTATACTTGTTGGTTTTATTTGCATTATTGGAAAGAAATGACAGCTGAAACTGATGTTTCAATACAATTATAAGGATTGATATTTTACTGGCTGGAACCCAAAATCTGTGGGGTCGTATAATGATCAATATGGAGATGAAACTTCCTTTATGATCTATATATATATATATATATATATATATATATATATATATAATATACATAAAAGTTAGTTGCGGAGAAATACATATAAAGTTCCAAAATACATATTGATAATTGACTAAATGTTGGGCCATAATGTGACAAGTTTTTTTTCAGATGGGTAAGATAGCTTCAAAGAAATGAACATAATTGTATATATACATATAAGTTAGTTGGGGAGAAATACACATAAAGTTCCAAAAATACATATTGTAATTGATTAAATGTTGGGCTATAATGTGACAGAGGTTTTTTCAGATGAGTAAGAGATGAGCATAATTGAGATGAGTGAAGCAGATTGGAATGGAGTTTCCTGGAGTCCAGACAGGAGGCACCCTTGTGGCCTGGCCACCCAGCACAGCCCCCACTTGAGTTGATTAGCCCATTCCTGCCCCATCTGGGGTCCTAGCCACGGACCATACCATTGACTCGACTCCTGTCCTCTTAAAACCATGGGACCAACTGTTGGTCCCTCAAATTTCAAATGGAATAAATGTTTCATAGACAATCTGCCCATCATCATCATCTGTCTTCCACCTAAATATTGGAACAATGAACTTCACTCCATCTAAACATATTGCAAAACTAAACAAAATGAGATTAACAGACATTGATAATTTTGTGTAAACTACAGATTTTAAACTGTAATAAAGTTAAATTATCTGGGTAAAACAAGAATTTGCTATCTTTATGAATAAAATTAAGAAGTTGAATTACGCAGAAACTTATTTTTGATAATGTGCAGGTTTTATCAAATCTAAAACTTGATTTGAATCCTAATCCGTCCTTAATTCATAGCAGGTTTGAATTTTTTTATGAAAAAAATTGAACGAATTATTTGATCTAAATTCAATTCAATTATTTTATTACGTGTAGAAATTGAAAAGATATTTAGTAACATATAATAGTACATTAATTTTTAGAAAAGAGAGGAAAATATATTATTACTTTTGGAAGGAAGTATAAAAATTTTGTTATAAAAAGTTTTAATATTCTTTATTATTAATTTCTATCCAAACTAAACTTTAATAAAATATCATTAACAGAACAAATTCTTTTTTATTTTTTCATTTGCACGTCATTAATCCATCATCATCTACGTCAGCAGTTCACTCTTTACTTCTTCGATACAGCGTCTTCCTCTCCGCTAATGCGACTTCCATATCTTGCTTCTGCTATTTCCATCTCATGGAATATATATTTTTCCAGCCTCCGAACCCCCTAGTTAGCCAATCGTCCCTGTAAGAGATCCGATCCACCTCTTCCTCCGCATTCAATTTTTCAGCATTCTAGCACATTTCTTCTTTTTCCATTTTCCATTCTTCCAGTTACTTGAGCTTTTCAAAAAATAATAGCTTCCAGTATAGTTCATTGTTCCAACATCTATGTCATCTTTGAGGTTTCCATGGTAGTGTGCTTGCAATTTACTAATCCTACCATTTTCTTTAATTCAAATCCTGCTATTTAAAATGAAGAAAAGTTAAACCCGAGAAAAAAAACTTATTTTGAAAAAGGAAGATTCGGGGGAAAAGCTCATATTCTATGGGTGTAAATGGAGTCTGTCATGCCGGAATCCAGCATTCAGAACGAGGAATTATTTTATAATCATCGCTGTAACCCCCTCCATCTTCCAAATCCAGCAAACGAAAACTACATTTTTCTCTGTTACTTTTTACAAAATACAGAGAGAAGAAAATCATAAAAAAGCAATTCAAGTCATGATTAATTAATTATTCTTCAGTGCATAAAAACGTCAACATTCTGCATTCGACGCTTCTTGCCTCTTCAATCTTCACTTTACATCTTTCCACTTAACCTTATCCTGCATGGTTGATTAATTCCCATGCTGCTATTTTAATTGGATTACACAATCGGACTGATTCAAATCCATGTTTGGAACTTACAAGACAAGTTAAGATAAAAAAACAGATGCAGAAACACACAAATCTTCTTTTAAAAAATTGGTGGAAGAGTGGGGGAAGCTCATATTCTATGGGTGTAAAAGAAGTCTGTCATGCCCAAATCGAGCGTTACAGATCGAGGAATTCTTTTATAATCATCGCTGAACCCCAAATCTTCCCAAACTCAAATTTCAATTATCAAAATTTAAAATACAAAATCATGAAATTAATGGAAGATAAAATTAAGCTAAAAAGAAAGGCTCAGACACGCACAAACGCAGTCATCAAATAGCAATACACACACACATGTACATATACATACACCATTTGCATATCGCTTTTTGGTCCATCCAATTTCAGCATCGAGAAATGTTATCGGTCATCATCGCCTGCTCAAGAGCCAAAATAAAAAGAAATAGTAAACCCTAAAGACCGACATCAACCAAAAAACTACGGAAAGGACTACGAAAAAACAGATTCGTAGAGAGATGAAGACGGCCGGAGAAGGATAGAAATGCCACAATCGACAAGTGCGAAGCACAAAAGGGTTTATGGCATTATATACAACCACGAAACCCTAAAATGGAAATGAAATGACATTCCTGTCCCTGTATAAACTGGGTTGGGGTAAAACGACACCGTGGAAAATGAACTTCAAATTTGTATGGGCTTAATGCAAAGCCCAATTTGCTTTCAGTGAGAATTAGGATTGGATCTTTTACGGCTAGGTTTAAAGCCCATTAAGATTAATTTATACGTAAAGTTTACATTTCCATTTTATTAATATTTTCATAAATTTATTTTATTTTAATTGTAGATGTTTTGTTTTTTAACTGAAGTCAGAAAAAAGTGAAAAATACTTTTACCACCGTAAATATTTCCAATTACGTCCGTGTTGGTGAGTTAGCACCATTGCCCACAGTTCATGCATCTCATCAGTAACTGACCATGTTGACCAAAATAAGTTCGTTGATTTTATTTTTAAAATTAGTATATTACTAATTAATATGTATTTTCATTTTTCTTTGCCGTCAACTTTTTTTTATTTTATTTTACTTGTATATATATATATATAACTATTTGTAAATTATATGATTAGAAAAAAATAAATAACCTAAAGATGACATCGTGAACTATTTAGGAGATTAAGCACTACACTACATAGGAAATGGGTATATACTAATGCTAAAACACCAAATTAAAAAAGAAATTAAAGATTAATTAATAATAAGGGAAATTAAGATTATATTAGAAAAATATATAAGGACATATATTATATACAAAATGTTTATAATAATTCATACTAAAAAAGATTTGACTGATCTAATAAGACAATGGAAATGATTTTTTTTTTTTTTTTTTAAGAGAGAAGTATAATTTCCATGACTTATATAATAAAATAAATTATTTGATTTAATTAATTATTGATTAATCAACTTCATCTACCATAGACTAGACCCCAACTAATTAGTTAAATTGGTGAGTAGTCACAAATCCATGCGTTAGTGAAAATTAAAGGCACACACTGTTTTAGCATTTCTTATTTGCCATATATTAATAACAATGAATTATAACAAACACTGCCTTATTTCCTTTGCTTTCATGATCGTATCTCCCCTTCAATTTTTCATTCCAAAACAAATTCAACCTTCCCCTTCACTTCTTCCTTGTTTGGCTCCCCTCATATTAATCTTGCTTTTAACCGGTAGTACGGTGTGGATTGCATGAGGATTCTAATATAACTCCATAACCCACTTCCTCTATAAGAAAACACATATATGCATGTATGTATATGTGTGTCTTTCTGTATGCAATCTCCACTTGTTGTTCTTCAACAAAGCCATGACTTATCAAAATGTTCACTCACGATGGAGCATACCCTTTTCTTGGGAGGACAAACCCGGTGTCTCCAAGAACAAAACCAATCAAGATTGCCCTATAGGTCTAGGACTTCATACCCTTAATCTCAAATTATCATCCTTGCTAGCACTACCACATTCTCCAAACTTACCTTCTAGTATCACTTGTATAAACGGTTCAAATAAAATTAGGTGTTCAAATGTTACCGATCAAGAAAAACAAAGTATTCCTCTCCCACCATGTTTATCATCACAGACTCTACATCGAAGCACATCTAAGAAAATTCTGAAGTGGTGGCAACAAGATTACAATGGCGATCCCTTTCTCGCAGCTTACAAGGAGTGCACAAAGAGTAGTATCGTTGCAAATGGTAAGTCAAGTCGCAAAATAAAGAAAAGTAATGTAATTTGTAATAGTGATAAAGGAAGGAGGAGCACACGGTCAATTTTCTCTTGCAAGAATTCTTGTGAAGTTAGAGACGATAGTTTCATGATGCATTTTACAAATTTTTCTTCTCTTCATAAGGATCAAATTCGGGTGTCGTCTTTGAAGCACAGACATTAAATTCTTTTTCTATAATTTTTTGAAGATGTTGATGATGTATGCACAAGAGTTAGGATAAATGTTTTGTCAATCTCTTGTTAATTCTACTTTAGTTTTGCAGGTAGGTAATATGTTGGAGTGAAATTTTAAACATATAATATTATCATGTGGCTGATATGTTCTTCTTATATATGACTTCTAAATTTGGAGGAAAGTTACGAATTCTCATATGAATAAAAGGGCTAATATGCATATGTCTGTGTATATATATATATATATATATTTGTGTATCTACGCATACACACACACATATATATACATAGTGAACGAACTTTCTCGGAATATAAAAAATAGTTAAAATTTATTATTTAAATAATTAACAAAAATTTGGTTTGTTCAAATGTCTTAAGAATTAATAAAAATTGAATTCATTCAAAATATATTTGTTTAAATTGCATCCGTAACTCTAAATTACTTTTTATATTCTTTAAAATTATTTGTTTATTGATAAAATTAATTAAATTGTTTTAAAAAATTAATATATTTTCATAATAATTAAATATAATTTTTTTGCCGTTAAAAATATTTATAAAAAAATATAATTGTGTAATTAAAAATTAAAAAAAAAAAAAAAAGAAAAAGAAAAAGCAAACTGATAGGTGAGGGTGTAATATCTTATTGGATGTGGGTGGGTCAGTTTTCATCCAAAAATTTGACGCGATTAAAAAAAGAGAAATGATTTGGTTGCTGTAACACGTAATTAAAATTAGTGGTACCTACAAATTTTCTGGTTTATTCCATAATTGACTACCAAATCATCTTATTGAAATTTAAATTGGAAAATAATTTCAACATACAAAGTTGATTTAAAAATATTTAAAAGAAAACACGATTGTTGTGTCAAACAGGGATCGAACCCGGGAGACGTAGCTCCTCCGCACCCAACACCCGGTGGTTGATAACTTGGGAGTGAAGGAAAGAAGACAAGGCAACGGCACCTTCACGAATCATGTCGTAAACTTCTAAGAACCCTTTTTTTATTTGACAGGTGATTCGATATGGGTTCTAATCTCTACCTACTCCAACTTTGTTTTTACTTTTGTATAATATGATACATATATATATATATATATATATACACATATCGCATATTATAAAGTCTGAATCAAATCATGTGATTCATTCAATTAGGACTATATTTGAACAAATAAATTTTTATCTGAATTTATTTATTTATTTATTTATTTTGACTATAAGAATATATATGGTCCTATAATTTTAGTTCTCAAATAATTTAAAAGTAACATTTTTTACACATGTTGTTAAGAAATTTGTAGTCATATATTAGAAAATTAAATATTAGTTAGGGTTATTTCAGATATTTAATTAATTAATATATTTTAAATTTGTAGTGGCCTGGATTAAGAGTATGTTAAGGCTACTTTTTGAGAATTGAAATAAATTATCTACAGTAATTAGAATAAAACTCCAATTTAATTATGTGATGAGAAAAATCAAACAAGAAATCATTAAAATAAACAAAAATACAAAATATATATATACAAACATACAAAAATACTTAGCACGTGCGGTAGGAGAATGAATGTATACATATATATGAGAAGCCAAGATGGGTGGGATGTCTTGCCCGTGTCCATCTGACCAGGGTGGGAGACTAAAAAGTTTTGTATTCATTACTCTTTTTTGCTATATTTATTTGATGTATCGATCACTTTATGTTACTAACATCTACTAATGTTAATATATGATGTCGTGTTAACTAATTTTAACACGCATCATTTTTTGATAAACCACTAAATCACGTAAAATAACACATTAAACATTTGAATTAGTTCATATTTATTATAAACATATAATATCATTAATATTTAATGTTATGCGTAATTAATTTTGATGTTTAACATTTTTTAGTAAGTAATTGATTCTCATAAGATACTATCTCATAAATTAATAGTTTCTTAGATCAACAAAAATTTATATATGTGTCCGCTGAAATTAGTCTAATATTTTAAAAAATAAAAAATAAAATGTATTTTAAATATTACTAACATGATAGCATATTTTAACCTGTTAGTATCCGTAGTTATTTTGAAGTCGAGGCAAATGGTGTAGTGGAAAGATAATTTATCGAAGAAACCATACAAATAGCGTTTATCCTAAAGGTCGAACAAGCATTCCTTGCCCTCTTTTTTAACTATTGATCTTGTTTGCTCAATTCGATAATCGTATGTCAAAGAATATATTCTTCATGCACGATTTCTTGAATGAATTATTACGAAATTAAATGCTATTGGTAGATATAAAGATTTTGTATATATTAAAAAATATCACGTAAAAGTAGATAAATTAATAATGTTAGAGGTTAATGATAGGGATTAATTAATTCAAATATTTTTAAAAATATATAATTAATTTAATTAAATTTATAATTGAGGGGAAATAAAAAGTAGACAAGTTAAAATTTTATATTAACCTATAAAAAAATTGTACATATTCTTAAATTTTACTTTCAAATTTTCTTTCAGCTCTGTCTTATACTCTTATTGAAGATAATATGCGAGGAATATCCATTGCACTACTTGATAATGCGCTCTTATATATATATGTGTGTGTGTGTGTGTGTGTGTGTATATATATTCCACCAAAAGCTAATTAAAAAAAATCCAACAAGCTTATTAAATTAACAGTTTATTATTAGGAAAGTAATTAAAATGCGAGTGACGAAGGCAAACTCCTTTTGTTTTCCATTATTCATTTTAACAATATAATTTTTTTGGCTAAAGTTTTGGTTATTATAAGATTGGATTACGTTTGACCAAATTTATGATTATCCACAACATTTTTTGTTAATTATAAAAATTAAGAATTCATGTAATAAAAATGTAACTATATTTGGCTCAAATTTATTTTAGTTTCGTAAATTGTAGTTAGTATAGAAAAATCATTCATCATTTACGTATTCAATACAAAATCAAATAAATAGTATTTGTGTATTTAATTTTATAATTATAGATTTTGTTTTGTATTTTTATTTATTAAAAAATAATTTACCCATATATCTAATTTAAATTTGTCATACCCTTAACTTAGAATTACCAACTATTTCTATTCAAATTTATGTCATATTTATATTTTATATAATTCAATTATAAATACTAATAATAATAAACTAGCTCATTAGTAAAAATATAATTACACGTTAGAATTTTTTTGCAAGTATATAACAATGAAGTTTGGTTTATCTAAACAATGGAAACCATATTTTAAAAAATACGTATAAAAAATCGAATAATTAGAAAATAAAATTGAATATTTCTGCCCACAAAATAATAATTTTCAAATCTACTCTCTCTTTTTTTTTTAAAAAAAAATATATATATATAAATTGGATTACGTCTTTGATCACAAATTTAGAGGGCCCAATTAATTAAATTTTTAAATAAAAAAAGTCGCACGTCACTTTATTATTATTATAATTATATGCACACTAAAGCTTGTTTCACATTTGTACTTATTCCCAACCCAATCATTCTCACAAGAGAAAAAAGAAAAGTAATTAACTTTAGGCTATTAGTTCTTAATTGCTTTATATTTTGAGCAATCATTTAAATTAAGATCTTGTTTGACATGTAATTAACTTTTCTAGTAAATTAATGAGGTAGCTAATTACCTATTATTTTAACACGTTTTGACATTACATTGCTACCAATTTTTAATCTCAATGATGAAGTATCTTTACGTATGTGTATTAGTGTATCTACTTTCACCCATGTTGTCTAACTTTATTTTAATCTGACTGTAAAAATTCAATTACTGCGGTTTAACTTTTTTCATTATTTTACTTAAAATTTTTACTTCTTTAAAAAAAAAAAAAATTGTAGGTTTAGTTTATTATTGTTTTGAACGTCTAAGCAAAAAATTTAAAATTTAAATAATTTATATGACCCAAAAAATAATTATTGAGTTCTACATATTAAATTAGAATATAATAAATTTAAAGTAAACGTGAAATAATAATTAATTTGATTTCATAAATTATCGTAAACATTAATTTAAATAAAATATATATATATATATATATAAAGGTATTATAATAATAAAATCACAATCAAATTATATCAGAATATTTCACAAGCAGCCCAAAATGAACATTTGTCATTGTAGTTATTGCCCCTGCTTTTTGGCCGGTGGATTTATTTGTCAAATACTAACGACTATGATTAGTAATGTAATGTTGTTGAGCATTTAGTTTCAGCATATTCCTCTTTTATAATCCCAAATATAAACAACAAAAAAATATGAGGGGGTGGGAGGGAAATTACAATATTATCCCTGTTTATTTTGGTAATGATTAGATGCCATCGGAGGACATTTAGGACATTACACTTCCTTTATTAATTTACTATTTGTCAAGGCCGGCAAAGTTGATGGACTTGGCACCACTTAGAAATACTTGGGCTCATTGTTTGCCAACCTTAATATTTTTACAATAATTATTAATTAATTATCAAAAACTAAGGATTTTGTAGGTAAATTAGTGATTAATTAATTAATTAATAATAACAAGGCAGAGAAAAATAATTTAATAAACCACCCACTAATTAAAGCCTCTTTTTTTTTTACATAATAATAACACCGGTTTTCTTTTTTAAAAAAGAAAAAACCGCTGATTTTCACCATTTTCAAAAATCACACCAATAATTTCTCAGCCTATCAAACTACCATTTTTAATGAATTTACATAAATATATAAACTATATATATATATATATATATAATAGTATAATGATTTTGTAATTACGGAGAGAATTGAAAGAGAGAATCTGGTCTTGTTCGGTTCTTGTTTTAGGAGTTGATCCAGCGACGCCGTTTATTATGTGTTCAAGATTACGTGATTACTGATTAATGGTGCTGTAAATTGTTCGTTAATACTGGTCACTGTACTGGCGGCGGTTGAATTGCACGGCCAAGCAAAGGAAGACAACTGTTGGACCTGCCGGAGGAGCAAGATTTGTCGTATCTCCGACAGCTTTTGTCGGAGTAAGGTGTGCTCCGATCGAAGCCGATCGTTTTCATTACGCACGCGTTGGCAGTGATACGCGACGAACCGTAACCGGTTGGAGAATTCCCGGTTTTCCATCCTTAGCCGGTTCAACTGGTTCCGTAGGTTCTCCAGGTGCTTCTGTTTCCGCATCCTGGACCGGCGGGCCGATTCCCGGTTGGACACCATACGCCGCAACTTCCTTTCGTCCACCACCGACACCGTCTTGGTCGAACCAGCTGTTCCATCGGAGCTTGACTTCAACTTGGTAGCTGTGTGTTTAGGGGTAGGGTCATCGGAACCGGAGTTGGATTCCACGGGTTTAGGAGATGGGGAGTGCATGGGAGAAAAGAGGTCCGACCCCGAGAAGTCCCATGGGGTAAACCCGGATTCGAAAGCCGAAAACGGGTTGTCAAGAGCCGGGTCAAAAGAAGAAACAGGTGGCATAACAGCAGACAACATGGTCATATAAATAATAGTAAATTAAAGGGAGGGAAAAAAAAAAAAAAAAAAGAGGAACGAACAGGAAACAAATGGAAAATGCTTTATGCTAAGAGATAGGAAATAGAGCGGAGGAGGAAAGGGAAGAAATGCAGCGTAGGGGGCTGATATTTATGGGCAACGAGAAGGGGTAGTAATGGGACCCACAACAAGGGTATTTTAGTACATTCATAACAATACTGGAGATAGTAAAACGTGGTAAGCGCTCTCTCCGTATTTAGCTTTTGAGTCAGGGGGCACTTGGGTGGGGTTTAATCGTAATCTTAATAAACATAAGATACTCTTTTTTTTTTTTTTTTTGACAATTCAAAAATTATGGGGTGACGTCACCGCGAGGGGTCCACGACGGTGGCTTGATTTTGTAACTTACTCGCGAAGAAACAAAAACAGGGGGGAGGATCCAAATGGATACGTGTCGTGACGGGGTACGATGACAGTGTGAGAATCCAGTAATTTTTTTGGGGGTAAAAAGTTTTTACTGCGTAAATTATTTGAATGGGAGTGAAATAATAATTAATAAAATAATAAACACTGAAGTTGTGTTTGATTGAGAGTAAAAGAAAACACTAATCGGTGAAATCGATGGCTACACATCAAGATCAGTGACGTACAGTTTGTTTGATTGTTTATTTAAATATTAATCTTTAACATTTTTATATATATAAACAATATTCTAATTTTTAAAAAAATAAATATAATGTATATTGTAAAAAAATAAGAATTAAAAATTAAATTAAATTATTATAATTTACTATTGTAAGAGTAAAAAAAAGAAAAATTAAACATTCACATTATAGAATATTCTGCCAATCTACCTGTTTCAGTTAAATTCGATTTCAAAATTTAAATTATTATCATACTCTTAAATTTTAAAATAATATTCTTATAACACCCCAAATTTGAATGAAGACTATATATTATGACAACAAAAATAATGCATTTTGAACTAGTAAAAATCTTTTGTTAATGTCATTGTTTTCTTAGGAAAGGAAAGATCAAAAGTTTTATTAATCTCTTGTAATTGTCATGACGCATGCACGCAAGTATTGAGCACCAAATTAATTTAAAACAAATACCAACTTGGATCATGACATACATATAAATATATATATTTATGAAAAGGATTTTAATTAATTAATTGACTTAAATAAATATAATTTAATTTGGTGCAACATAGAGATTAATTTTATTTAAGTTAATTGATCAACTTATAGAATGATAATGTAAAATATCATCTAAAAAAATTTAACCATTTTTTATATTTGAACTATATAAAAAGCTTTAGAAATTAAATTTAATTAATTATATCATTTTTTTATCATGAAATTAATTAAACTCAATTAATAATTATTTACATGTAAAACCCTTTATATAAATTTATGTATAATGTAATACTCGGGCCCGAAAATTTGATTCGGGATTAATTTAATATTAAAAAATGTATAAAATTTATTTTTGAAATTAATAAATCTTAATTTAATGTGAAATTATGGAAAAAAAAAATTAGTTGAATATGAAATTGAAAACAATTTTGAAAAAAAAAAGTAAAAATTTGAATTCAGATAGTGTTTTTGAAAGAGAAATTGAAAATTATGAGTCAGAACGCAATTGAAGAAAATTAAGCTACGTAATATTGTGCAGTCAGTAGCCTCGACGAACCGGAGAGCGCCGCGTGACACGGTACGTTGATTCGATGTCATGCGGGAGGCTACGCTGGCGATCCGCGTGCCCTAAGATCGGACGACTCGGAAGTGTTCCCGCACGCATGGACAATCTGGATCCATTCCTTTCTCAGGCGTGATCGGACGGTCGTGATCACACTCGATGAACGGTTCAGATTCGTTCCCTCTTTAAACAGAATCGAACGATCGAGATCAAATCGCGATAAACGGTCCAAATTCATTTTTTCTTTAAATGCGATTGAACGATTGAGATCAAACGCGATGAACAGTCCAGATTAACGCGATACGAGTACAAATATTTCGCATTACATTGAACCTAAACCCTAGCTGCCAGCCTCCCGACGGAGAAAAAGAATCAGTCATCGAAGAAAGGAGCCGACCACTGTCAGCCACTGCGCCGAAGCCACATCCGACCGCCAAAAAAGTAAAAATTCTCTTATTCTCTCGAAATTTGATTTCGAGCACTCCCATGGCCAAATCGGAGCAAAAGGAAGGGTGGGTGAGTTAAAAACTGCGGATAAAGTCTGGTGGCATTGCCGCGGGCAAGACTCGCAACCTCCTCCGATGAGCCCCTTCCCGTTTTTCGTTTCGTGCAATTTTTCTACCGTTATGTTCATCGTTATATTTTCTATAGGTTGAAAGAAGAAAAATCAACCACGAAGTTGAGTTGGCAGAGCCGTTGCACCGAAAAATCCCACCACCGGTAGTTTCTTTTTTTTTAAAACTTTTTTCGGCCAACTGAGGTCCTTTAACGTATTTTCTTGTAGGGATAGGTATAAAACAGGCCGAAAAATGGCCAAGCTGATGTAAATTGCCGCTGCAGGCGGTTGTGCCGTCGCAGGAGCAAGGTGATGTCGTCGTGCCGGAACCCCGAAATTGGCCGAAAAAGAATTTTTAACACCGATTTTAGATTTTGAGGTATTTTTAGGTATGTGAAGCATGTTTTAATTCCCTACATAAAAATTTAGAAAACCTGGGGATCAAGTGGGGACCAAGTAGGCACATTATAAAGTTCGGTATTCCGGACACAAATTTGGGTAAAAATCCGTCACTTTATTCTCTGTTATGGAATTGAAGCTTAATAATTAATAGTATGATATTTTATGTAATTTAGAAAACTAGAGAATAATTACAGGTTACTAATGGAGCCGGAACCATTTAGTTATTTATTTGTCATGTTTAACTAATTATTGAATTTGAAGCTTTAAATACATGATGATATATTGGAATGGTTGGATAATTCAGTTGTGCTTTCTTGATATATAAATTGCTTGTCTTGTGTGATTTACGGTTGATTTGTGAAATTAAAAATTAATATACAAACGAAAAATTATTTAATCATGTGAATTAATGAAATGGTAGTCTCACTGGATATGCTGAGAAATGGTGGACAGACTGGATACATAGAGAACCTACTGTAAATATTCTCTCATACCAGACGAGGTATCGAGAAATGATATTTTTGATGCTCATACCGGACGGGGTATGTGGATGACCTGATTCACCCTCATACTGGACGAGGTATTTAGAGATGATATTTTTGGCACTCAAACTAGACGGGGTATGGGAACGGTTAGTTAGTTGACAATGTTGGATATTGGTTCACGCGTAGTGAGACATCTTTATGAGCCCCCAAAGATAATAGTAGACAAATAAAAAGGGAAAATAATTGTTATTGCTCGCTTAAAAATGAGATTAGAATGTTATTTGATTTATTGTCTCTATAGGTCGATTTTAAAAATCTCGCAACGGTAAATATATATAATAAATGGTTTTTCTTATGATAAATGAATTTACTTAAATCAAGAGCTCCATTAGTTATTTTTATAATTTTTAACAACTTTCAGTTTCTGTATTGATGAGTAGTGTGATATTCTTACTATGATAGTATAGCTCACTATTTCATTAACTATTTTAGATTAAGAGAATCAAGACTCAAATCTCGATCAACAAGAGGGTTGTGAATAGTTTACCACTCGAACTCATTTCAAAAGCTAGTGAAGTTCGTTATATAATGCTCAGTATATTGTCTATTGTTTATTTCTTTAATTTTCGTTTATTTTTTTAGAATAGATATTTACGTATTTCTATTGGACATTCTAAATTATTTTATAAAGAAAAATAAACCTTAAACTCTATTATTTCGCTTCCGTATTTAATTTTTGACTTTATTTTTTTTTAAGTTTTAGGTATTTACATATAATGTATGTACTCTAGAACAAATTAATATTGGAGTGTAAATGAGAATAAAAATTAATCTTTTGATATTTTTATAATAATTCTAACATATTCTTTCCATAAAAGTAAATTATATGAAATTAATTAACCGCTTAACCTATTTGTTTCCTTTTATGTATTGGCTTTCTAAAGTTATTTCTCCATCATCGCAATTTGCGCAAAACAGTATCATGTGTACATATACATATATGTTTATAGGTATATATTATGTTACACAGAAATAGTGAGGAAAAGAAAATCTCCATAACAAATGGAGAAGCTCGATTAAGCAAAAATGCCTGCCAAAGTTTATTGCTAGTTGATTAGTGAATCACACATCACTTACGGCCTAGTTGCCTTATAGACGAATGCATATATATATATATATACATATTTTTAGATCATGAAATTTAATTGAAAATTATCATGGATGATTAATTAGTGGATTCATATATACAATCTTCGTACATATATATATATTGTATCATCATTAATTGCATATTTGAATGTAAAAATTGAAAATTTATATGATTATTATATGTGCTTAATTAACATGTCATACTTGATTATAGTACATTGATCACGACCAAGTTAATAAGTAATTACTTTTAAAAATTTATCAAGATTTAACTTTTTTAATAATTTTTTTTTTATAAGAAAGATTAGAAGTTTAGACAAGTAATTATAATTAAAACTTTAATAAAGTGATGTTAACATACCAGAAATTAAAAGTATCGTAAGCAATTAAAGTCAACAGTTGTCGTCAAAAAGGTAATTAGAGGCTGAGTCGAGTGGCTGCTGCTGTCAATTCACTGAACATTTAAGTAGAAATTACGAATTGTAGAGAAAGACACAACTTGTAAAGACCAAGTTAATTAATTAATTAATTAATTTTTAATTAACCCGATTAGTGAAAGTAATTGGGATTTGAAAAGAACCTAATTAATAATTTACTTTTGGCATTCTACGTAGTGGATAAGTAAGTATAATTTATATCTATATACAGTTTCTAATATCTTGGTATAAAAATATTGCTTCATTATGTGACTATTTATAGATACGTCCTATAAAAAAATTGAAGTTAACTACCTCCA